ATTGGCTTATCAAAAATATTCACTAAGATCCTAAACGTTTGTAGCTTCATTAAAAAAGAATAATTATAAAAAGTCAACGAAACATGTTAAAATTAATAATCTCAGTAATTATTGTTTCAACAAGGTGTTGCGCAATTCAGTGCGTTTCAGTTCCATTAAAAAAAAGGAGAAAAAAAAGCGACTCAAAGACCGACTGACGAGCAGAGCAGGAGTTTAAATGAGCTACTCAACCATCGCTGTGTTCATGAGAGGCTTATTAATAATTGAGAAATAAATATCCAGCCTGGAAACCTAATATTGTAATGGACTGAATGTTGTGTTTTTAATGTAATCTTTGCTCGGTTTGCGGGGCGCAGGCGGTTGCCACGGCAACGGGAAACGATAGAGAGAGGTAGGAGTGGTTTTGATTTGGTCGTCTGTTCGGGTTGTTTTACCTTTGTTTACCTTTGCTGTGGCTCATCACACCTGCTGTAGTTTCTGAACGTTCAATAAATGACAAACTTGGACTGATTACCTCGTTATTTGTGAGCATACGTCACAACAAACATCAAAGGGCAAATATATTTCATTAAGTTTTAACAAATTCTACCACGATAATTATGTGAAATTAAATTAATTATATCCTGACTTCAGAAGATTTGCCTATACCTTTACTGGGCTCTTTGGTTCCTCCTATCAGTCTGTAGTTTCTCATATTGAGGTCATCAACCCAAATTTCAGATCTACCATGACTGACCAACAGCTGCTGGCCTCAGGTTTGCAACCAGCTTCTGACTGAGAAACCAGCAACCTCCTCCCAGTGTCAGAATCTCACTGAGGAAGAAACTGGATTAGGTTTTCTGTCACTTTATTATTTCTGCTATAACTTATGTATATTTGCATATAAAATAAGTCAATAGAGTTTAATTTGCAATTTTTATGTCTTTGTGTCATGAGGTAGATCTCAGGCGGCTGGTGAGAGAAAAAGTAGATCTTGCACTCAAAAAGTTTGGGCACCCCTGCAATAGATCAACGACAATCAAGGAAAAAACTCTCTGCTTCTTCTTCTTATCTACCTAATTCATTCAGAGATAAAAAAAAAACAAAAACTAAGAACCCTTGTTGAATGAGGTAGTTGGCTCTTTATAAACTTTGGTATTGGAAGACGTCTGCAAAGACGGAAACTTTTTACTGTCAGCAAAAGAAGTGAAAAATGTGATTCCTGAACAAGTGCTGAAAAGCCAGTGAGTAAAGGATTATCAACGAAAGGATAATGATTTTTCCAGATCTTGACTCAGTTCTTTGTGTCATTATTTCCCTCCCACCCCCCATTTCTTGAAACAGGATTTTCAGAAAATATGTTGAAAGGAAAGCCAAAGTGACAAAAAAGAAAAGCTTTAGAAATTTTGTGGAACTAAGCTAAAGTCTACTTTGGAAGCTTTGAAAATCTCCTTAAAAGGGAAGTACAGTCACAGTCAAAGTAAGTATTGAGTCTAAATTCTTTTGAGACGAAGTAGCAAATCTTTCACCTACAATTTTTCTATTTTGATTTCAGAAATGTCCAAATTAGAAATTTTTACCCTAGAGAAGTGAGCTTTTGGAGTGCAGTTAGGCGTACATCCTGCTTGTTCTCAGTGTCCAAGCAAGCCTCAGG